CCCCCCCCATGAATTATGTTAAATAGGACAGAATGAAAGATTTGTTGTGTATGATTTCAATCGAAATAATTACGGTACTTACTTTCAGAGAAATCCGCCTATTACGCCTTGCAATTACGCGGTTTGAGATTACTCTTCTCTATCTACACTTTCTAGCAAGCAAGCAGAAATTTTTTACCTATTTGAGTTGTCTTATATGCTCTTCTCTAATGTTTAAGCAATCTTACCCTTAAGGAGGGAAGTTTAATTTACCCATCTAACTATGCTAACTCCAGGATGCTAATAGCAACTCTGAAATCGCATAAATAACCGTTGTCTGATGATGTAACCGGTGTTAGAATATGGTGGCAATGCTGACTATTTTTTTAACTAATTTTCAGCTTCACAAAACTGGAAGTGTCGTTCTATCAAGCGCGCGAAATATCGGCTACACAGAGGTCACTTCAGCTGGTGCTGCAATCACAACTACTCTGAGCAGTAATACCGAAAACAACACCGATATCGGACAGGTATCTATGGGAGGTAACTACGATTCAGCCCCTCAGATACTCCAACATCAACAAGCTGACCAAAAGCCTGATGAGGAGAACTCTGCCTTGGTGGATTTCTGTCATCCTAATAGTGCATCAAAGGATGGTTCTAATGGTATGAATGGATCTGTATCCTTTGTGGAACCACATGCAACTGTTCAGCAGCCGCAAAACAACAGCGGTGATCAGGAACAGAATGAGAAAAAATCATCAAACTCGTCCACAAACCAACACAGTAAGCTTCGGGTCCTCCTTTTCGACATGGAGGATGAGGATGAAATAGATGATGAAGCTATTCCACATACTGAATCGATGACTGTTGGGGATAGCAACCTCGACTTCTCCCGAGTAGACTCTCGCGAAACAGCCAGTGAATCCGTCCAGCTTGATAAATCAAAAGACGGACGTCTGTTCAAAGGTTGTTCAGCTGTTGGAACTACTGCAAATCTCCCAACAGCTATTGTGGCGCCTACAGCATTTTCAATCGCTGCAAATGGAAGTAATCCCAATTATGGCAGTTCTGGTAGTACTACCAACAGTCCATCTTGTTGCAACTCCGATGAAATGTCAAATGAGTATGGCAAAGAAAAGCCACAAACTCCACTTTCAGCAAGCAAGAGGAAACATGGGCAGGAAAGTGGATTCAATTCCTCCAACTCGGTGAGTATTTCCAGATGTCCCCACCCCCTCCCCTTTTCTTCTTTCAAATTCGTGAAAACAGTAAATTTGGTGGAGCATTTAGAAGATGTGCAGTACAATCTGCAACAAAAAACCCAACATCACGCTAGAATCTAAAATTAGCAGTTTTGTACCAAACGCAATTTAATATACCTCCATTGTGTGTGTGTGCGTGCGTGAGTGCGCGCGCGCGTGCAGGGATAAATCCCTAAGAGAATACCCACACACACATACACCCCCCCCCCCTCTTCTCTCCATCGTTTCACACTTTTTGTTTTCGCTTCGTGAACCATATCAATGGGCCATTAAATTTTCAGGAATCGAAATACTCCTCCAAAGGGGAATTTATAGCCTTCGACTTATTTATTCCACGACCTTTTAGTTCGCGTTAGAACAATTAATAATGAGAATTTTGATGACACTATCCTCTGTTGCGCTTGCCCGGGAAGTGGTAAAAGGAATGCCATTGGCTGCAAAACACTCCAAGAATTTCCGAGTTTCTGAATTTAGCGCCACTGGCAATTTCTTCATTTAAACTGGGAGAAGTGGAGACTGTTCCACTTGAGGCTCGTCTACTCCTCTCCCAATTCGTGAAATTCTGCTAATTATGAGCAGACAGTAAAGTGAGGCATTTTGATTAATTTGAGGGGGTGGTCATTCCGGCTGTCGCAGTCTAAATGTGTTTAATTCCATCTTAAGTCAGGAGTGAGCGGTTTAATATCAAGCAATATAGGTAGTCCTTAATAAATCCCCCATGAGAACTAAAAAGTTTTTTTGCTTTTCTTCAAGTCTTGATTAGCGTTAGCACAAATGGGTTTTTATTGAAGTGATTGAAGCAATGCTAGAAAGTTTTTAGGCTAAGTCCGGGAACGAAGTCTTCCTCCATTTGGCTACGAAATCGTCTGGCTGTCTGGGGGGGGGGGCAATTTTTCTTTCCTTTTAATTTATGACCTATTCCCTCCCCCCCCCCTCCTTTGAAGTAAATTAGCTATTACAATGAGGTCAATTTAAAGGAAGTGATCAATTTTCTTTGATGTATATAAGAGAATGCTTGTAACAAATGCATGCCAACACATTTATTGCAGTTAATGAAGTTCACCGGTGCTTTCGACCCCAAATTCGAATGCTGCTATTGAGACGTGCACTAATTGACAACCTTTCAACCAGTTTTATTTATGCATTCTGCACTCGAATTAGTTTTTTTTTTGAAAAATGTACCCAATCGCACTCACGAGTGTGTCGCACAGCAGCAGACTGATGCTGCCGACGTGGTGAGTTTTGGTGGTGTATCTGGAGAAGGCTATGGACACATGATGAACATGTTTCAAATGACAATAGCGCATTCTGTTACAAGTCTAGCACCGATTGAGCTTATTTTGAAGGTGAGGGGGGGGGGACCGTACGGTACTAATAGCGCTAGTTCTTCTCCATTTGATCCTAGAAGATAGCGAGCATCTCAAATCGGGCATTGTGCAAGCGCGTACAGCGTAGTTTTATGGCTTGGGAGGTGGTTAGTTAGTGGGATTTGCCAACCTAATACGAGCGCGGTGTTCTCGCTTACACTCAGTACCAAACAACAAATCTTTCATTTTGCTCTTTGAGGGAATAGATCTCTATCTGGGTATTAAGATGCCAGTGGCGGGGTGTTTAAGAACTTTCAGTGCGCAGAAGGGAGTTTCCCCCCACACTCCCCACGCCCATAATTACTTTCGTCTATAACTGAGAGAAAATGCCAAAATTTAAATAAGCATGACTTAATTTTATATCGTTAGCCACCTGATTGGATTGGTTTCTTTTTTTTGCGAACAACCAGTCAGTATTTTGTATAAATTCTTTTTCTGTCTCCTCCCCCCCCGCTCTCCCCCCTCCCCCCTCCCCCCTCTCCATCTCCTCCTCCTCATGGCATCCATACCGGTCACATCTAACCGTGCCGAAATGATAAAGTGGGAGGGTTTAGAGATGATGTGCATGCTATTAGAGCACCTCCCCAAAATGATGGGGGGGGGGGTGATTCAGCAGTCAGTGTGAGTCACCAGGTTTGAGAAGAGGAAGGAGACAGGAGACAACCCATTCTCGCATTATAACCACTGAAATTTCTCAAATTCTCACAGGCAAGCTCGCAAGCAATTACTAAATCCCATCTACAATTAATAGCCTCAGTTCCCTGGACGAGTTATTATCCCTAATCCCAGAATAGCCTTAAAGCAGGAAGGGTGAGATTACTGTGTCTCTTCATGTGTGGAGAATAATAAAAATTGGCTTTTTTTGGAGTTAATCAGGCCCCCATTCTTTGGACCGAAGTGGATTTGAGCAGCTAAGTGGCTAGGTGTTCATCTCATCCTCCGAAAGCAAAGGATTGACAAAAGAGGAGATTAATTCCTGCTCCGGACAGTTTAACAATGTGTCTAGACAGATTTGATAAGGGCGTTAGAATTATCGATTAAGACGTGTACTATTGGTCCCGGATGAAGGCAAACCTACTGCTTTCTCCCTGCCTATTCTAGGCAATTTTATTAAGAAACTTAGTCATTGTACTCTTACGCAACTATGACGCGGCCATTGACATGGTCGTCTATTAAGCCAGAGGACTTTCCCCCAATGCTCATCCACACACACACTTATTGAGGGGTGTGTGGCCCACCCATACCATCAAGTTTTAACTGCTATTAGAGAATATGTCGATATTCCTTTGAAGATCTCACTTATTTCACAATCTTGTTGAGATTCGTATACTAGCAGACGAAAGTTTGCCTTTGATAATGCTGGAATGGTTAGGTTAAAATTTAGCCAGTAGTTCAGCAAAATGTTGTGAAAATACAACGATAGGTGGATAAAGGCGCCATTTTTTTATCCCTTTCTATCTTTTTTGGATGATTGACATCCAGTTTCCACCCCCATAGATGGCGGATATGGTTTGTAACAAGCGGAGTTTTGTTCCACTTTAAGTCGTTTCATATTGGGGAAACTCCCTATTATTTCCAACCCCACTTAATCCAACCAATAGATCCATTGTCATGGAAGTGATGCTGCTCATGAATATACGATTAATTTAGCATAAACTCGAGTGTATCGTTAGCAGCATCCGTAAAACGTTGATGTGCAGACTTCATTTTACTAAATCCTCCTTGCCTCAGTCGAATAAAGGAGGTGTTTCATATCCGCATTGGAGGAAAAATTATTATAAGGCACTTTAGTGCACGTCTATTTGGAATCGGAGAAACAGCATATCGCCAATTTAGTAATTACTAGAGCCCACATTTATCTTCTCCGACTTTTTGCAGGCAAGTCGAAAGGTCAATACCCTAGCTGTAGCATTGGTTGCATCTTGCAAAGAGAGGCTCAGGGAGAGGGAGAGAGGGATGGAAAGAGGAATGTAATCTCCCTAAGGTCACGTCACCCCACAGCTTGACCTTACTTTGACCTCACTCCAGCGCGCACCCATTCGTCATCCTCCCATCTAGCAAAGATGCACCCATAGATGATGATGATTGAGGTCAGAACTCTTCCTACCTCGCATCAACCCTTTTTGCCGATTGATGACCTCACCAACTACAGCAGCACCAGCAGCAGAAGCAGCAGCAACGTCTTCACATTTTGGGGAGAGTCTGATGGGAAAATTACATTGACGTACTTTAGCAGGCTGTGATATGATGCTGCTGCTGCTGCTGATGATGATGCTGACAATGCATTAGCTGGCGCTTATCCCATGTATTTTTAAATGATTCCTTCACGCTCCTCATTTATCCCAACATCGTAACTCTCAGTATCACGATACCAATTTTAATTATCTGAAGCTTTTTCAACTTAGTTTCCGATACGCCTTACTTATTTGCGTAGTTGGTTTCCGTATAACTTTAAAACCTGCTCTTTACATTCCTGAGTATTTATTTAGTTTAAATGGCGGTCTTTAGGACACCTATCATTAGCTCTTTAGCTGACTTCGGGCTTCACAGAGGGGAGGAGGAACATCAAAGTGAGAAAAAGTTGAGAGGGGGGGGGGGAAGGGAAGAGTGATTCAAAGATGCAAAAGAGGCAGACAGACACAAGGGCAGAGAAAAGGTAAGATGAGAACTGTGGAAGGGGTCGAATATGACTTAGAATCGGGTCATGGTAGCTTGAAGTCAGAAGTCAACTGCCAGTTTATAGACATTTTTTCCGTATGAGTATACGTTGCCCAGGGCGCACCACGTGGAGGTAAGTCTATCGCACACCCCACCCCACCCCTCTATTCAAGGTTAATTGACCGGCAACTTGTGGAATGAGGGGTTGGTGTGTCCATTTCCTTCGACAGTCAAAATAAATCCGCATTAAAAGGCATGTTAATACACTCACAGAGAAATTAAATAAGACCATTTCCATTCTTTCTCTAAATGATCTCACCGTTGGAGCTTGCAGAAATGGTAAATAAAACGACTTTCCTTTAAGAATATCTACACAGGGCACACATGTTTCCCAATCGCCTTTAATCCTATTTTTGGCCAAAATTAACGCATAAGTTGGTTTTAAAGGCAGAACAAAGAAGCACCGGCCATTTCAGGCTCATTTTCCCTCCAATACTGTAATTTTATACTTTCCCTTCACTCTCGAATCACTAACCCCCCCCCCCCCCAACTCCTCTATTTGATCAATGTCTATAATCATCTTTCGATCATTGGACTTAGCAATAAAGTCCATTTATTTATCCTTAATTGTGCAATCGGAAGCGTAACATTGGGAGCCTGGGCAAGTCTAGACAAAATTGTGTCATGCTTCGAGAGAGTCCGTTTTAAGTGGCCTTTCTTTCAGCTCCTTGAACTCTTCAAAAAGAGAATTTAAATCGTCTTCTCTTGTAACTTTCTAATTCTTCAACTCCATTTTATTTCATTTAGCCATTAAAACAAAAGAAGTGCGACGATTTCCCAATCCTAGCTACCACTTCTTCATCCGTGACAACGCCATCCACAGTACTAACCTCTGGACCATCCATGAATTCTCGAGTCACAACGTCTACTCACAATAACACCATGGAACTAGCTACTGCCAACGCTTCAATCAATACTGGAACTATCCTCAGTCTCCATCCGCCCAGTGCTGGAGGTAATCGTCTTTCTGTCAATACGACTCAACAAATGGAGGGCATCACATTGCCAGTTTCATCAGCTGTCAATTGTGGAGGAAATATTATAATCTGCTCCAGTTCTCCAGCTCTACAACAACCACAACAGGCAATTGGAGCCTGGAATTGTCAGGTTAGTCTATTCAATCTGCAGTAGCTTTGCAAATGCACCCGCTTTTAAAAATAAGGAAGCAATGCCATGAAGAGATTTATCTTTCGACCCGGTCTCGATGTTAGGAATGAAAGGCCTGAGGAACACTGATCCCATCTTGACCTAGTCGATTGGCCTTAGCTTAAATTTCAAGGAAGTCTTCTCTCTACCTCTCTTGGCTATGTGATAACTCGATTAAATTTGGAAGAAATATCATAGCAATCCAAAAGGAAAAGCGTTTCGTTGAAATTTGATTGCGAATATTCCAGAGGAATATACTAGTATCGTTTTTCGCACGTCATGACTTCATGAGATAAGCCTTTCGCAGTATTAAGAAGAGCCTTAAACTTAATATTATTATTTATAGTGAGCTCACTTTCATTTTACCCTCACAATCACTAAAATTGTCAATGTGGAGTGCATGTGAGCAATTTTGAGCTGCCCAACTCATCTTCTCCCACTCCCCTCCACTAATCTCCAATCGAAATTAATCATTTCCAGTCTAGCTCAAGGTCACGCTGTAATTTCGGCGTGGGTGTATTTGGGAAGAAGTTGTGACGAGAAGAAGGAGGAGGAGAACGGCAGAAAAGAAAAATAAACGAGAACCAATGGTAGAGGTAGTAAAGGCGCACATAAAAACCCCAATTAAGCTGCAAGTTCTATAAATCCATAACAGACCCGGTGCATCCAATATTCTGGTACCTTCATGTAGAACACTTACTATATTTAATCATATGGCAACAGACTATAGAGTATTCGTTTCGCCTTCTAATAGATCGAGTCTGTTGTAGAAAGATGCAAATTTCTACAACCTGAATAACCAGACGATTTGGTACATTGGTAGAATTAAAATTCATAGTTTGAATGTAAAGAGGAAATGAGAATTTTCGTGCTCATGGAATTAAATTATTTTCAACTTAAATCGCATTGAAATTCCTGTCTGAAGTAGAATGAGAAGTGTCTTGTCAGATGAAAAATGATCACTGCTTCAGAGGCCACATGTTCAAAGGTTGTGATTCAAAGTTAATTGCCTAACGGATTATTATTATATTATTATTACTCAGAATAATGTAAAAGCTATAAATTTTTAAGTAAGGAAGGAATCGAGGTATTTCAACAGAAAATCTAATTATGATAAGTGGGAGGGCATCGGAACGATTTTGAGAACAACATATTAAAGTATTGGAGAGTCCTACTTTCACTTAAATTTCGGAACCGGAATGTTCACTGCCTAGCAAATAGGCGATTTGTGTTCCGAAATTTTTAATACCTTATTACTTGACCCATGAACTGGAGATCATGCCTACATAGAGGACATATTCAGTGCTCAGTGAACACTTTTGCTCGTGAAGAAGAGGTGTACGTGGTAATTCAATTAATTTTTGTTCTTCTATTGAATGAGAAAGCTAAACGATTTGCCAATATATTTATTCCCTTACCGTTTTAGCATAGCAGAGATGAGGTGAGTAAAATTTTCGCTTAATAAAGCTCTGTAAATTGTTTGAGTGTCCATTGATCTCATTGAATTTTTTAAAATGGCAGGCTTTATGATGTTTATCATTAGCCCTTAAACTTTGACTTCAGCTTTCCCCATGGGTGGGGGGTACATATATAGCAGTTAATTAGCTCTCTTCATGCTTCCCAATATCTCTGGGTTTCCGTCGTTGTCTTTAGGGCTGGACACCGAATCAGGTGGGTTTTCTCCATTTCCTTTTGTAGGTTACACAGGGGGCATGTGGGTTGAGTGTATACTCCTAACCTGTGAAGGTGTTTTGCCAAGCAATCGTGTCCGGTACGTAGTCTAAACTCAGCAACGGCTTCGATTCTTGGCTAGTCAGCTATATCGGAGAGTGCCACTGTCCACTGTTTCTCCTTTGTTCGAGCTTTAAGTTCGTTGCACCTTGAGGTCTGGAATTCTCTTCTGATTAAGGCCTTCATTGTGTGGAAAAACATCGGCCAGTCTATGCCTTGCAAAATTGATTATTTGGCCATGGAACTTCACAAAATAAGACATAAGGCCAAAATTATATTTTTTGGTTTGTTAACTTACGCAGGTTCGAATTATTAATTGAGAGAATAAACACATAGATTAAAAAAAGACCAAATGAATTTATCTCTGAAATGAGTATTCATTTTTGAAGATGGGATATCTCCTCACATGCCTTCCACCCCTCCCACCTTCTATAGGTTTTCCACTGGTGTGTACCATGAAGGTTCTAGCTGCTATGGAGCACACTGAACTTGTGTCAGTTGTAAGAGGAAATTCCACAAATTTTCCTCTGCATAAGCATGTCTTGCTTTTAGAGGCTTTACAACTCCTATTCTCCACATGTTCTATAAGACGCCTATTATTAGTATTTCTTATGAGAGAATGCATGAAATATGTTTGTCAGTTTAAATCACAGGTTTAGTGTCTGGATAGACGAAATGGCAAAATAGACTTGTATGG